TCTTTTTAACCCTCCAAGGGAAGAGGCTCAGCCGACATCCTCTTATTGCTTTGAAGTGCCGAGAGCCCAAAACTCCGGGCTACTCAAGGCGGTTCTGCCTCTAGTCAAACCGGTTTTTGTGCGTACGCCTTTGTTTTTCATGTAAACAGATGACCAAATCTGCGCCCACAAACGTAAGGAGGCGTGGAAAAGGATCAGTTTCTGGGCAACCGCCGCGCATGTTCAAACAGGCAACAACAGAATGTCGGCAGAGCCTTTTTCCCTTTTCGATTCGAGAACGGGTTAAAAAGGCTCTTCTCGCCGGGTAAAATGTTGTATCCTTTTACGATAATTTAACTGTTTTTCAAAACTGTTACAATAAATAGTGTTAGTGCTTGAAATACAAGACTTACTCCTGTAAAAAGCACCCAAGTTTTAGCAAATCACTGGTGAAATGCGGAAAATACAACCAATGTATTCTATGGATCATGGACGCGATCATTTTATGCAGTGAAAGTCACTTTTGAAGATTCCGTATTTACTGCACAAACACTTCAACCCTCCTACAAGGGAATGTCGAAAAGGTGACAGGATAAAATCCAATGTATCTTCCTTGGACTGGGTTATTCAGAGTGTGCTGTACAATGCTATTCGTCTGATCGAGTTCCTTTGGAAGATCTTCAAATCCAAAATATCCAGACATTATATGTCACATTATAATAGCTTACACAAAATTTTCTAGGAGTTTTCTTCCTAGCATTTCTTGGCTCGGTAGATTTTTGTATCATCCTAACTAAGTATCATTTCTTCTCTTGAAGAGGGTTAGTCGTACACTGCCCCAATCATCCTCTCCTCCCTCTCTACAGCGAATCCCTTAAATTTCACCCCATGATGCCACAAATAGAGTGAGCGGATCAGTTGATATCATCAATAATATTATGTCTTTATTCGTTCACAGGATAAAAGTACCTTTCCTGTGTTACAAGTTAAAACATGTAGCGTACAAAGCATAAAAAATGCAGAAACCCCACCCCCCTTCCATTCTAATGCTAAATTATATTGAAAGACTAGTAATCTATTTACATAAGTACTCATAGAGCGGCAGTATTGTTCTTAGGCAGTTACAGAGGATTTCCCTATAGGGTTATAACGGGTAGAATCGACTCTAGGTAGATAATTGCGGAGATTTGATTCTAGATAGGTAATTGCGGAGTCACTGTCTTCTATAACAAACATTTTGATATATTGAGTTTCATATATTTTTTCCAATTTGAGATATTCGAAAAATGGCGTCTCTTTGGTGGAGAGGATGATCTCTTTGGATAAATCTAACCTCACATATTCAGACTGTATGCAAATGTAAAACCTACTATCATGTCAGCCAGTTAGTACTTGTGCTATGACTGGTCAATTTAGCGGACCTGGGATCCGTTTCTCCAAAGGACTCGCAAAGCTGTTCTGTTTTCATTCATGATGGGGATTTCGAAAGGTTTGAGAATAATGCAATAAAATTATCAGCTAAAGAAACAAAATGAACTGATTTGGATGCTAGAACCTGCTTTTCTATCCTTTATAGTTTGATTTTAAAACATGGCTTCGGGCCCGTTTAGTTACCGGGACTTTCAAGAAACAGAACCCGGATTTCCCTGTACGGCCCGCTAAATTAAATAGTTTATTTGGATTGATATCCTCCCGCTCTATCTGAACCCAGGTAAGAAATAAGTATCTTACTAACATCATTTTACCGCTCGTTTTTGTAAGTTACGAAACCTCGTATTTTCCAGACCGATTTAAGGCCAAAGCGCGACGGATTATTACGATATTTTTTACATCTCTGGGTTGGAAGTAAGAGGCAAGATCTAAATTCAAACAAACTTTTAAATGAAGCGGGTCGTACAAAATTAACGAAATACGACCCGCTAAACTTGCTGATCATGGTGCGCCTAATAACTAAGATATATGGTATTGGGTGTCTTTGGCATGAATTGACTATTACATTTTTCGCCCAAAATTATGATAGAATTATTAAGTATTTTTAATAATCCTAAGTAATACCAACGAAGTTTTTTTCGCGCTGGGGACCAGTAGCCTTAACCAGAGGGATCAAGGATTTAAAGTGAAAGAAATACAGTGCTAGGCATCTGCCTTGAATTTAGCAATACTGCAATGGTTAAGAAAATCAGTTACAGAGATTGAAAGGACTTAGACAGGTATTTAAAACATAAGCAAAGTAAGACACGTGCTCAGATTGGTCAATTCAGAAGTCACCATTTGCTAATGGGTGTACGTCATAAGACAACGTGACGTGAGCAAATGCGAAAAACTAGTTTTGGCGCGCTTCTTCTTTCTGGTCACTTAAGATTTTTTAAATAAAAGGGAACCATTTTGCTACAATGTATCAATGTTATGTTTTAAAACAAATGGTAAACACCACAGCGTACACTATTGAGTTATGGATGCACTTAGGTGGTTTGCTAAGTACTCAAGACGCTAACCTCCCGCATGCATTTATAACTCCATAGTGTATGCTGCGGTGTTTACCGTTTGTTAGTTGGAAGGAACTATTTAACTTCTCTATTTTTTTGGAGAAAAATTATCAATCGTTAGTCTGCAGTGAAATATTGCGTATCTAGGATAAAAATATCACTTAGCTGCCGTGACATATTTTCTCAACTGAGATAACGAGCAAATATCGCCGATAACTCGTAAGTTTTGCGATAATCGTCGATTATTGATATTGCACAATACCGCAGCTACGGTCGTTTTTATAAATCAAGTGATTATTGATTAGAAGTCTTTACTATGAGAAGACTCATCTGTTAAGATTAATAATAATANGTGACCGTCATGTATTGCATAACGTGCACTTATTGCAAAACGATATATATCGTTGAAACAGGAAGACGACTAGGTGACCAACTCCGAGAACATCATCGCGACATAGAAGGGAACGAGGAGGATGCATCAAAACCAGTCACTAGACACTTTAACCTACCTAATCGTTCTAAAAGGCATATGGTAATCTGCGGCCTTTCCTTACATTTAGGTAGCTCAGAAAGCTGCAAAACTCTTGAACAAAAGTTGATCTTTCAAATCGGCACTCTTAATCTCACAGGTATCAACGCTTTTCATTCTACTAATTTATTCGTAATTTTCTTCTTACCATGTTCCCACTAATAACGTAGCTCCTTTCTCTGCATACAGACCCACCACTACTACAATTCTTCCATTCGCTCTGACGAAGGGCTAACGCTCGAATCGTCAGCTTTTTATATTAACTCTTTAAGGTGGCCAATTTACAATTTCAACTTACTTGATATAACTAATTTACCTAATAACTTTTATAGCTCGATACGTCGTCCTGGCATTCTAGGAATGAAACCAGGGCTGAAACTCCGTGGAAAAGCTCGCAGCTACTACAATCTTTCCTTTCCATGAAAAAAAAAACTTTTGATTCTAGCCTGCTGCGTTAACTAGTTGTTGGTTTCACGACCTCTTTCACTTTTATGCACCCGCGAAAGGAGTCACAGAACAGGGAAATAAATAAGCATAGTCACGTCACGCAATGCATCAAGCCGGGTTTGTCTAGTTCGATTTAATGGTCACAAGAAATTGTTAAGTTTGTTGCTCAAGAAAGTTACGGTCAGATAAAACATAAATGACAGAAAATAATTTGCAGAAGGAGGGCCTGTTCATTGTGTTCCACGTACTAGATCCCAAAGGACATTGCAAACATTCTTGCAAATTAGCATGGCTGTTTGCGCGCTGTTTTCTAACTAACGTTTTTAGCTTGTTTGTATGTCCTTTTAAGTAACACATTATGTCTGTAATGACCAGAATGCCAGATTTCACTTCTTAATTTTAGGTCTTCTTCACACTGCGTGATTCATGACCTGATTAGAAAAAAATTACAGTAAACGCGCCTGTCCATCACCTTTGTTCTAGCTACTGCCTCCTATAGGAGGCATCCCACATATTTTGTCGAGATGAGTGAGTGAGTTAGTGACTGGGTGAGTGTAACAATGGAATTCCTATCTGAACTCAGTTTTGACCCGATGTTTCCCGGTGATACCTATTGGTTTTCTCGGAGCATCTTAGTACTTTGCCATTCGCACTCGAAAAAAATCCGAAAACCGTTCTGAATCCTGTAAGCTCATTCATTTAAACGATTTGAAGAACGAGTCTGGGTACATTTCCGCCTGCGGTCTTGATAGTTTGCCATTCTCTCGTGGGTTAACAGCTTAAGATCAATTGGAAATCCATCCTGTTGTTCATACAGCATGACGAATTCTCCTAAATATCTTCTTTTGATACTCTCCCATTTCTAACTCTTCGTAATCCTTTTGCTAGTAATACTCACAACTGACTCGGAGTGGAAGTTTAACCTCGCCATCTGTCAAACTTAAATTTGTGTCTAAATTGACTGTGGCCCTATTTTTTTATGCACCTTTCTTGTCATCGATTGAGGCAAGAAGAAGCCTTTTAGCCCCACAATAAAGAAGTTTTGCAGATTTATTGACGTATATAAGTGGTTAGGCTTCCGGAAATCTCTTCTAATGTAAACGTTCATGAGTCTAATAAACAAACCATAAAATCGATGCATTCGGTAACATTTACGAGCCTGGAAGAATTTCCGCTTTGTTAAACCCATTTTAACCCTTAAGACTTCCAAGATCTCATTAGTAATTCTCCATATTGTCGCCGTACAATTCTTATGATGCTAGTTTGGAGAAATTTGTATTGAATCAGCTGATATCCCTTGTATCTCTTTTTTCCTTATTCTCATCACTTGCTTCTTGATATGGTATTGATATTGTATTGATATGGTATTGATATTGTATTGATATTGTATCGATATTGTATTGATATCGTAGGCCGAGAAATTTTGTCTTAGTCACTCATGAGAGTGAAAGGGTTAAAACAACTGCACGTAGAGGGTAGGTATGATCCTGTTTTATGCACAAATTAAAAAAAAAATCCGTGCTTCACCCCGGTATACTTTAAAAAGCAATTCACGCGTCGCAAACTTAAAAGTGAAATATTCGAAGCAAATCATACATCATTGCATGCATTAACAAATCCACAAATTCAATGAACAATTTTTAGTTATTTGACCCCAAGCGTCATTACTAAAGTCAGATTCTCGTCTTCCGTTTTCCTTGATTTCAAAAGAGGCAAGTTTCGCGACCGTTGTTCCAATTCCGTGGTCAGCACGTGAGCAAACCGCCCCACCTCCCCCAATCATGATTACAGAGCCACTCCAGCGCCAGTCACACCAGAAGCCGACTTCATCAGCAGCTTGCAGTTCACCGTTGCATGAAGCCTGTCCAAAGCCCTCAGTTGTTAGGTACTGTCCACCATATTGAACTTTGCATTTTCCCAGGCACTTTGTATCGGACCAAACTGAACCGTTTCTGAAGTTACCGTAGCTAGTGATTTTGGATCGGAATGTCTGCCCGCTGAGACAGTTCCCTGTTGTGTGCAACAAAGGAGTGTGTCCAAAGTCATCACTGCGCGTGATCTTAAACTCACTGCCGCTCACTAGCCAGAAGGCTGGCGAGATCATATCCACGTTGATGGACGGATCAGCAGTTTCTCCTGCAGCTTTTGTACTGTCGTACCACCAGTATCCTGAGTCATTCATCCAGTTTTTGGTGTCACTGTTTGAGAATCGAGCGAGAAGAGTCCAGGCCCGATCCAATGATACCATGTCGCAATAAACCTGTAGAGAAATTATGATCCTCATACAAACTTGCATCCTATGATCCAAATATACTCTTCGTGTATTTTCTATAAGTAAAGAGTGATCATTTAGCTACCAGAAATTTCTTGAACTTCATTTTTGTCTCCAGGGACTCCAACCAATATCTACCGCTGACTGCCATCCATTGTTCGCTGGCTTTGATCTCTTCACAAGACTCGGCGGGCATCTCAGGAATGGAGCCTAAAGAGACTTAGCAAAAGGAGCAATAAAATGGTTATCGTTCGATGACAATTACCTTCTTGATCCACTTACATTTATTAACCAGTCAAGGATCATTTCAACAAGGTATACCCCAATGTGGTCACATCAGTATGCATAATATAGTTTCGAAGTCAACAACTCCTTGGCTGCTATGAGGTTACGTCTGATATGTCAAGTTTTACTTGATAAAACTGGTAGAATGTTGATACGTCCTCACTCTGAAGCTAACATCTTTAAAAATAACGTAGACCANTGAAAACTTTTACCTAACAGGACCAATAATTTTTGATTGTCCAAGAACTGAAAGGAATTACGTAGATAAGTTTTTCTTTTGTACTCACCTTTTATTTAATAATACTTATTCAGACTATGTTGCTTTTTGCATTCATACCTCTGTTTTTCCACCTTCGCATGTAAAATCTAGTTAAATCTTGGACAAAATCTTCAGGTCTTGCTTCTTTGGTTCTGTTATTCAACTCACAAATTTGATCAGTTTTGACGTAATTGTAGCTTTGACAAGTGAGCTCGCTGTAGCAAAACACCCGACATTCGTACGGATCTTGTACCCGTTTTCTTTTAAAGATGTGACCTTTGAGAGCCTTTCCATTCTCTGAATGCTGAGCGGGCTCACACTGCAGACTAGCGGTCATGCGCAGAGGAAGGAAAGGTAAAAAGCAGAGAGGATAGTGTACCAGAAACATCTGCCTTAAATCGAGATATACTGCAAAGATAAAAAAAAAATTAGTCTAGGTGCCTGTGAATAGCTTGCAAGTAGGTCTTCACCATAAGCAGTGCAAGACTCAGGGCCGTAGCTAGCATGAGGCAAGACGAGGCAATTGCCTCGTCTTGATTTTGGTCTTTTTTTAAATTTTTTTCTTGAAGATTGACTTTTCTGAAGAAAAATGCCACGAAAAATCCTTTAAAGAGCATTTCTGAACCTCTAGATTTCAAAATTTTCTGGGGGGGGGCATGCCCCCAGAACCTCCTAGCGGCTCGCGCCGAAGTCTGGTTACAACCTTAGCCGAAGTCTGGTTACAACCTTAAAGACTGGCAGCATCTCTCCTCCCCGTGAAGATTTAAAACGAATCGGGGAAAGATAAACCGCTGCCGACTCGCGTTCCTCGTGCTAGGAAGGCTTTACTGGAAACGAACGGGGTATCTGACTTCGGTGATAAATGTTTTGGCCTTTTTTGGATAAGAAATGTTTAAGCGTATTTAAATGTTTATTCATTCGCACAGCGATCAGCGATGTATCGGAACTGTGAGAGCAATAGCCTTGTAATATGAGATATCCTTTTAATACCGTTGTCATCTCCTAATTTTCGTGGTAATTGTCACTTTCTGCGGTTTGTTCTACTTGCGCACAGTGTTGCTTTGAAGGTGTCAATGGTCGATGGGGGGTCCGAGGTGGGGGTGGCTTTGACCAGTAGGCGGTTGATTTCAGTTTGTGATTTTGTACAGGAGTCCTGGACCCCATGTGAAAACAGACCACAAAAAGTTAATTAAGTAAGACTATAAAAATAAAAGAAAAAAAATTGAAAGAGATAAAAATATATAATAAGACGTGTGCGATCAAACTCAGCTGGTAAATTCAGTCTAGCTTATCTGATTGGTTTCAAAACTCCTCAAAACAGTAACTTATGCTACTCTCGTGCTCTACAAACTTCCTACTGCTTGCATCCATTTTACGATATGACGGCGCCAAGCACGAAAAATCTCTTCATTTTACATTTTGCCTTTTATCTTTCTTCTGTTTTATTTTTTGCATGGTCTATATTAATTACATTTGTTTTTCATAAAACGTGTACATGTTGAATAAAATGAAAAAAAAAAACCTTGGAAACTTCTTCAGAAGTTTAAAATCTTCCCGTCGCTTTGTTGTGCATAGATTTCAACTGAATTATGAAATGCACCGATAAAGCGTTGTCAAATATAACCAAATTTAATATGTTAATGCTTAGACATTTATGTCGTCTATCTCTTAGCCACCTGTCAAGTGAGAAATTTTCATGTTCCTGTTCATTCGCAGCCAATATCCCTTCTGTATTATTGGAAACATAGTTCTTCTGCTGTCATTTCAACAATTTTCTCTCCGACTGATTTTATTAGCTTTAAAAAAACTTACTTATTAGGCTTCCAAAAATTGCGTAATACATAATAAAGGAAGGGTGCTATGACGAAAATAATATGCATTGAATGCCGCGTTCTAAAAATTACAAGACAAGCGTTTGATATACGTTTAACACCTGTCGGCAATATGTTTTCGAGGTGTATAGATTTTCCTACGCACGTTTTCTTCAATTCAAACCAACTTTCAAATAAACATAACACTAGTGAGTAATTTTCTACTCAAAGAGAAGTTCTTATTCCACAAGAGAATCTAAGAACATGGGGGACAATTTTTTTTTATCCAAGCATTTCCCTTTTCAGCTAGTCAGTATATCATTTTTTATTTTCTTCAGTGCGAGGCTAACTCTAGGCTCTTCATTGAGTTAGTGCAAGCAGACATTTATACGGGATTTGCGAAAATATGATCATTTATTTTTAATGACTTGGATAAAACTAGTGGATCTTTACTGAGTTTCTCAAAAGAATTCGAGGCTATATGTTTTAAAAAAGATTACCAATTAAGTAACTGCGGATATTGTTCAGTCACAACTTTAAACTTTGCAACTGAAACGCACTTTCGCATATTGTAAAAAATAATTTAGAATAATTCTGAAAGTACGAAAGATAACAATGCATTAACATGGGCAATGAGTTTCAGTAGGCATCTCTTTAGTTAGGCCTCTATATACGGGAATTTCAGTCCTGGAAAATGTGCGTTTTGATTTGTTTTTGATATAGTGCTTGGATGAGAAACTAAGGGCAGACAAATAAAGGTATCTTATCAACAAATGCAAGCTTTAAAACATACCTTCTGGGCAGGACTGAAATTTTCCGGGGGGAAGAATCACATTGATAAGGAACAAGTAGAGAAAAACCCCCATGTCTGCACAAAGTCAGCTGAAAAGAAATCCTTTCGATGTTTTGGAACTGTCAAGCAGACCGAGGCAAGCAAACCGAGGAGCTTAACAGCATTTGTTGACTAAGATGTGCCACCAATTTAAGGCTACACTTCCCAGAAACGTGTCAGCCAATCAAATTTGGACATGTGAAAGATGTTTTCCCGCACGTCAGAGAGACGCTGAGGTTAATTGATATGTACTGAAGAAGTTTATTTTGCTAGTTTATTCCTCAGGCGGTTATATCTATCTTTCACTCGCTTTCCCTAAGAACTCCTTTTGTACTTGTTTCAGTAATTAGAAGCAGCATCAAATGACAAAAATTATTAGTTAAACTCTGTGAAAATGCAAGCGAATAAAAAAAGCCTTTAATTTGGTTTTTTTTTGGATTTAAATCGATATCTCTGTGGTTTTCTGATCAAATTTCCTCAGAAATTTAGAACGCAATTTAATAAAACACGGCGTCATAAAAAAAGCATATTAGTGGAAATGTTATACAGCAACAATGTTACTGATTGCCCCAGGCGTGCAGGTATGTCTTCAACGAAAATAAATGAGAATTTTGTCTTTTAAAATGCCTTCTTGTTTCATGAAAAGCAAAGATTGGAGTAGCTGCTATCTCTTAATTTTTGTCCCTTTCGAAGCCAAAATCAACTCGCCGGAAGAAAATTAATTTGCATTCGAAGAAATTCGCTGGATAGCTGGTAGTCATCATCATCAATCAATTTCATGCCTCGTGGCACATAGGGGGTTCACAGAGCTTTCCCACTCCTCTCGATTGGTTGCTGCGGTTCGCACCTCCTCCCACGACCTCCAACCTGCCTCTTTCCTATTTTTCTCTAGCCTACGTCTCCAAGTTCAAATATTTTTGGTCTTCCCCTTCTCCCTTCTCCTTTTACCTTCTGGCGCCCAGCTCATAGCAACATTGCAATCATTATTACGATCTTTCCTAACAATATGACCAATCATTTTCCATCTACGAGAAATCACTTCCGCACTCAGTGGCTTCATGCCTGCCCTTTCCAGTAGCTCTTTAGTGCTGACATGGTCTTGCCATCGAATTCTAAGGGTCATTCGTAAGCACCTATTATGGAATACATTCACTGCTTTATGTCCTCCTTTGTTCATCTTCCATGTCTCAGATCCATAGAGTAACACTGGCACTAATAGAGTTTTATACAGCCTCAGTTTTGTTTTCCTCAATATGTTATTAGAGATCCAGATCCTCTTTAGTTTGTTAAAGACACCTCTGGCTTTTGATAACTTGTTCTTCAAGTCCTTCGTACCACCACCCTCTCTACAAACTTTGGCCCCCTAGTGCACGAACTCATCGACATCTTCGATACCCTGTCCATTGATTATGATCTTTTCTTGGTTCTTTGCATTGATCCTCATCGCTTGTCTTTTGTTTGTTGATTTCGAGTCCCACCTGTCTAGCCTCTTCATCTAGCCTTATTGTTTTCTCCTGAATCTGCTCCTTGGTAGATGAGAGCAGGACTATATCGTCCGCAAAGTCCAAGTCATCCAGTTTCGAAGTAAACTTCCATCTAATACCATTTTCACCAGTGCCAACTCCTCTTGGCATTACCCAATCCATAACAATCAAGAACAAAATTCCCGACATACAACATCCTTGTTTAACACCATTTTTAATGTCAAACCACTCACATGTTTCCTGCTGATCTTCTACAGCACACTTGAAGTCGTCATAAAATACTCTTACTATCTCCACGATCTCCTCTGGTATTCCATACTTGGCCATTATTACCCACAGACTTTCTGTGCTGGTAGTACTCCAAACTTATTACATCGTTCGCAGCGCCCGTGGGCAAGATGAGGCGAATTCTGTGTTCTGATTGCCTACCCGAGCGGGCAAGATGGGCTGGGGATGCCCCCATTGATTCCGCGCATGAAAAAAAAATTGAATTAGAGCTACGTTCATAGATTTTGGACAGTGTCGGCGATGGAAACGGAAACCACGGCAGAAGATAGTTCAAACAAAGAAAACAGAAACGATTCTCGTGATTTTGTTGTGCTACAAGCACAGTTGGCTTTCTTTCTTGGCTCCCAAACTAGAGAAGTCATTCTTAATTCTTGATATAGCGAAATCTTTCTGCAATGAGTTAGATCCTTTATTAACTACGCTTGTTTTGTCAATATGGCTGGATATAAGCCTCGTCCTTTGCGAAAAAGGAGCCCGGCCAATATCCAGCTATCTTCACCTCACGCTTGGTTAATAACGCATGTAACTTGATATGTCGCCCTGGTATTCTGGAAAAGAAATCAGGGCTGAAAATCCGTCGAAATGCTCGCAACTGCTACAATCTTTCCTTTCCATGATTTGTTTAGCTGGATTTGTTGCTCACAAGGAGTTGTTACGTTTATTGCTCAAGGGAAGCATAAAGTCATAAATGACAGGAAATTATCTGCATAAGGAGGTCCTGTTCATTGTGTTTCATAAGCTAGATCCCAGACGACATTGCAAAAATTCTTGCAGATTGGCATGGCTGTATGCCTGCTGTTTTCTAACCAACGTTTTTAGCTTCTTTGCTCGTATTTTTAAGCAAAATATTATGTGTGTAATGACGAGAACTCCACAATTAGTTCTTTATCTTCGATATTCTATATACTGCGCGTGATTCATGACCTGATTCAACAAAAATTATAGGGGATGCGCC